GACCAAGGGGTACCTTGACCTAAGACAAGACATGCACACGGCACATCAATTATCTGAAGACAGAGTGGAATGAATCACCAAAGAAGCGGCCGGGGGATGGAGGGCAAAATGGGCTCAGGAGGGGATAGGCCTGTAGCAGAGGCCAGCTGCCTCCTGAGCCGACCGTCCCCAAAACATACATGCGGCCCAGGTGCACGGAGTTCCGGTTTGGCAAAGCACGGTGATGGGGCACGCGGCCAGAACTGCAGCGGCTGCTCGGGCGAGCATGTGCGCAACAGCCCACAGGTGGGAACAACCCCAGTGCCCCCAGCCGAGAACTGGATTAACAAATGGGATCTCTCCCTGCAACGGAGTGTCACTCAGCCATGGGAAAGAGGCGGAGCGCCGATTCGGGGATGCAGTGTGGAAGGACCTGGAGAACATCAGGCGAAGTGAAGGAAGCAGATGCAAAAAGTCATCTACTCAGTAACTCCTTTCTATGAAATGTGCAGCACAGGCCAATCCGGACAAGAAGTAGGCCCGGAGCTTGGGGGCAGGAGGGATTGGGGGCGGGGGGACTGTTTTATGGGTAAGGGGTTTTCTTCCCCTTTTTTGGTGGTAAGAACACTTAAGAGGAGATCTACCCTCCTGACAGATTTTTAAGTGTGCAGGACAGTATTGCCAACTGCAGGCACAAAGCTGGGCGCCAGGTCTCCAGAACTTACTCTTCTGGCGTGACTGAAACTCTACACCCCTCGAATAGCAACTCCCCACTTCCCTGTCCCCTTGGCCCCTGGTGCATACCATTCTACCCTCTGGCTCTTTGAGATGGACTCTATTTTAGATAAAAGTACAATCACGGGGGGGGGTTTCTTTTGAAAATTAGTAACTAGACGGAGATGGTGGTAGCACAGCATTGGGAAGGTCCTAAATGCTACTATGACTCAGTTTAAAAAAAAAAGAAAAAAAGTTCCCTCACAAAAAAAAGAATGGAAGGAAGCTACTGCACACCACAGGCCCCTTGCACAGCCACAGCTGGAAAAGCCTGAGAAAAATAGGGGGAGCACCGTGGCTGGGGAAGCAGCCCCTTATTGAATTTCTATGACATTCTGGTGCCGGCAACTCCGTAAAGAAGCCACAATCTCAGGATTGAAGTCATAGTCTCACAGGGGAGGCGGACAAGAAAACGGAAATGAACAGCACACCAATTTCTAGGAAGCCTTACGATGCATACAAGTCCAGGAATGAGGGTATGGCTGATGCCCTATCAGGGTGGGGACTGTTCAGGGAAGGACTTCAGGCAAAGGGAACAGTATCTGTGCACTGGGAACAGCAGGAAGTTTGCTATGGTGTGTGCAGAGAGCCGTGGGGCCACAGTGGGGCAGGGGGGTGAGCCTGACACCCCCAGGATGAACTCGTGTTCTGCTGTGGTGCCCGGGCTTCATCTGGTTCACTTCGAAGCTCTGGAAGTGCATCCCGATTGCAGCTGGTCTCTGCTGAGTACCGGAGAATGGGCTGGCAAAGCTCAGAGACGGGGAGCCCGCTCTGGAGGAGGATGCAGCAGCGCTGGAGGGAAGGACTCAGGGCCTGCACTAGCCATGAGGGCAAGGAGGGAGGGATGGCATGCGCTGACCAGGGCAGCTGCGCAAGTGGCAGGTGATGACCAGGTGTCTCCACTGGGACACGCTAATGGAAACCTCCGAGAGTCCACTGGAGTCTGGATCTGGGGTTTAGAAGAGAGATGTGGGTGATGGGTGTACGTGTGGGATAGAGATTCACTGAAATCCAAGAAGGCAGAAGACAGGACGCAAGGTTAACTCTAACATCTGAAAGGCAAGTGCAAGGGGTGAAGGAAGCCAAGGTTACTCAGAAGTTCCCAAAACCACAGGAGAAATACCAACAGGGTGGGGTTATGGATGTGAAGAAAGACGAGCTGGAGGCAGGATCAGTTCCTCACTACTGATAGATTTCACTTGTTCCTCGAGAACTGCAGTGATACACACTGAGATTGTGTGTGATTGTGTGTGTGTGTGTGTTCAACTGAGCCTCACAATTTCATGAGCAACAGGGCATATGTGCTAGTCCCATTTTGCTGAGGATACTGAGGCCAGAGAAGTCAAGCATCTTGCCTAAGTTGGGGGTTTGCGAGTGGTAGTGCAGGGCCTGGAACCCTTCACATGGTGCCCCCTCCCTTGCTGTTTCTGGGTGCTCTCTGATTACTCTGGTGGGAAGGGAAACATCTGGGGCCCAGAAAACGAGGATTCTTCATGGCCTAGAGGGCTAAAGTGCCTCAAAGTTCCCCACCAGGAACTCTGAGGAAAAAACCTAAGATAGGACCAGTTCAGGACTGACGTCCCTGTGCACAGAAGTCACTCTCAGCTGCCTGACCACAACCACCTGCGGTCATTTCCTGCTAACATCGGACTAACCCACCGAAAGGGTGACAAGAACAGAAAAAGCAGATGGCACACCACCAGTCTGCCACTGATATGTCACCTCAGACTCCAAATGTGGCATGTGGTGGATCAGTAAAAGGGTGCGATCCCATTTCCTAAAGCACCGGATGCCCTCCGTATTGAAATACATGTGTGCATCTGTACGTTCGTGTAAGCACAGAAAACATCTGGGAGGATCTACACTTCAATGGTGGAGGAAAGGAGGCTAGAAGCAAAATGTTTTTAGGTATTTTTAAATTTATTTGCCTGCGCATTACCTTTAGAATTAAAAACCCCAAGAAGGAAGTGTACTGGTGTCTTCATGTGGCTCTGAAATGCATCGACAGGTGGATTTGGTGGACAGAGCTATGTGACTGAGCAGGCGCAGGAAAACGTAGACTCTGGATGGTGGGGATTTGGGTGCTCACGGTAAAACCCTCAAACTTTGCTGTATGTCTGACACTTTTATAATAAAACACTGAAGGAAAAATCCCCAATAAAGATGGGAGTAGAAATCCGGTCTGGCTTTGAGACGGCAGAGCCGTCCTGTAGACATTCCTGGGCGCTGACTTCTGCCCTCTCTGCCTCAGGCGTCTCATTGGTAAAGCGAGTTTGGGCCCTGGCTCCCGTTCACGTACCCCTCCCCACACTTATGGATGAGTTCCTATCCTTGCGGTGCAGTAAGGTTACAGATCCAAGTCAATGTCCCCTGCATTCCCCACCCCCCCCACCGCCACTGACTGGCACCCCAGCAGTGAGGCCGAGGGGCAGGTTAGAATTCTCTGGGTCCCAAACAGCTTCTCGTTCCTTTTCCTAACCAAGGACTCAGGCTTGAGCACAAGAAGGTCAGATGCATTTTCTTCTGAACGATCAATTACCAGCACACAACACTTTGCGAAGCATGTGCCTCACCAGCCAGCCTGGGGCTGCAGCCTGAGCGGCAAGAAACTGTGGGCTGCCTCACCGGCTGGAGAGCACACTTCCCCGGGGCCTGGAATGGTGAGGACGGGGAAGAGCGAGGGGCTGGGAAGCTGACAGTGTGGGGAGGCCAGCGGTGTCCACACCCAGCGCGGTGCCCAGGGAGCGGCATTCTTCCCAGAGCGGAAAGCGGGAGCTACACAGATCCGGCCCCAGGCCTGAGTGGGCTGAGTAAAACTTCCTGTCCCAATCCCTGGAGCTCTGCAATCAGCAGCCCCCAGATGTCCCTGGGAGCTCAGCAGGCGGGTGGAAATGGCTGAAACTGATGCCAGGCTATCAACAGGTTCCTGTGGGATTTCCATGGGATTTCCATACTCGTCCTGCAGGAGGCTGCTGCCCGCTGTCGGCGACCCTGGGCCTGGCACAAATTGAGGCCACCTGGTAGACGGACACAAATGTCCTTTGGTATCCCCAGGTACCCACGGGAGGGGGCCTTAACCGATGCCGGTTGAGGAGAACACAGAAACGAAGCTGTGCTTTCTGCCTTTTTCTTACTGGCTCCTAACCACCACCACCACCACCACCCGGCCCGGCCCCGCCCAAGCTTCCTGATGCCCTGTGCAAAGCCAAGGTCACTGCCCAAGGGGGAGTTCAGAAGTGTTTGGTCGGGCTGGGGGTGGTGCTAAATGATGCCAATGCCTATCCCTCCAACTAGACCAGGGAGCCAAACCCGAGGCAAAACTCTCTGGCGCTACAGCGGGTGGGGCAGGGGTGGGAGGTGACTGCATACTTCTGCCCCCTCCCTGAGATATAGGGGGAGCACTCTAACAGCTGCTTTTGTCAAAGAAATATCTAGGAGGAGGAGAGAAAGGAGGCTTCACTGCTTTGGGGCGAGCTGTATACGAGGACGTCACAGAAACATCTCAGTGAATGTGAAAGACCTTTCAGGGGAGGTCTCTGGATCACTCATTTAGCTGGTAAGTGGCCATGGCTCCCAAGACGAGGTCCTTCCACTTGGCCACCTTACCTCCTTTCCTTAAAGGACCAGGCGACAGGGTCTCTTCCCTGGAAGAGGAAAGCTGGAAACCACCACCCATCCCAGTCTCAGATCTTTCTCTTCTCGTGGAACTACTATGCACGCGCGGCCCAAGAAGGGTGCAGGAGCCTAGATGGAGGGAGCTGCACTCTGCCCCCCTAGTGCCTCTGTGAGGCTGAGCTGCCCCGTGGGGAGCCCCGGCTCCCACATTCCCCAGGGGACCCCCAGAGCTGCTGGTGTCACGGAGCGGGCAGGAAGGCCCAAACAGCTACAGATCCATTTCTGCCGGCACCTGCACCCCGGGGGGAAGGCTGAAGTTGGTGCAGCTCGGAGCCGGCAGCTGAGAGCAGCACCAGACATAATGCATCGCCCCTGGTGCTGAACGGCAGTCAAGGCCCTGGTGGGAAGGAAGGTAGGAGCAGGAGGGAGAACCCCAAGCAAACGACACAGACCCCGGCTCCACCTCCTGGCCTCATTGCCAGCCCCGGAGCAGTAGAACCTGGTCCTGCAGCCTCCTCAGCAGATGCAGAGCTGCCGGCCCCATCTCCTGGCGGTTCAGGAGGGGCAGTGCCATCAATGCCAGGTCTCACCAGCTCCCTTCTTGGGAAATCTCCAGGAGAAGGGGTAACTGAGAGCAGAGACTTCCCCTACCAGCGGTGGCATCCGCAACCCAACATCCCAGATTGTGGGGCGTGCTCCAACTGTTTTGGCGGGTTGGCTGCAACGACGGAAGCCCAGAGGGGTCAGCCAATAAAGTTCAGCCGTGGAGGGCTTCATCTTTACCGAGGCTCCCCACGGCGACCCCACTCAGTCCCTTCTCTTGTAGCCCCCCGATTCTGGTGTCCCCGCTGTGGCGAGCCTCTGTGGGTCTCCTGCCCGCTGACTCCTCACTCGCCCAGCAGCCCTCTGGTCAGCAACCGCCGGAGCTCCCTCCAGCCGTCCCTCCTGGAGGAGGGGTCCCAGGGCAGACACCTCTGAGTCTGGCCCTGCTAGAGCATCTAACAATAACCCCTGGCAGGGCCCCACTGGGTTGGGCACACTCCTCGGCCAGGACGTGGTTCCTCCAGGCCTAAGAAAACGCAGGTTCCATCCCAAGCACAGGGTCTCAGCAGGAATGCAGGCCAAATAAGCACCATTTACACAAGTCTGCTGGCTCGGGGTAAACTAGCGGAGGTATTCCTGCTTTTGGGTGGGAGGAGCGTCAGATTCCCTTTCCTTTAAAGAAACTTTGTGTGACATGCAGCATTTTCAGAGCCCTGGAGTTGGGGGCAATGACTTTAGGCAGAGAGCAGGACAGAAGGTAGTTAGGACCTAAGAAGCAGGGCATGGGTCAGCACTCCAGAAGAGAGCTGAGCATCTCCTGAAGCCGTTTTGATAGCCACCAAGCTCTCCTCAATACTGCTGGCAAAGGAACCCGAAACACCCCAGAATCTACTGGGACCGTGGACTCCCGGCTGGTCTTGGAATCAAGGCCCCCTAAACTTTCCATGGACAGCTGGCCATCTATCATGCCCCCCCGCCCCCCGCCACGGTATTAGGACTCTCTTCTGTTCACAACAAAATCAGGACCGCCAGCCCATCTCCAGGCTCATTCTGCTGGCTGAGCAATGTGAAGGTCAAAACTGGAGTGCATATTCTTGAGGGCGAGCTCTCTAGTCTAACAACTACAAACATGTTGGAAAGGGAGAGAAACTAAAGGCCCATTCAAGCTCACTGCATTGACCCACAAAAGTGGGACCCACCAACTCCTCCCTCATCTCCTAGGGGTCCTGAGTTCAGAGCCGCTGTGGAGGAGAAGGAAGGATGGAACATTCAGTGCTCTGGGGTCAGGCACTCTCCCTGCACCCTCAGCACGCGGTGGCTATTCACAAGCCTTGCGAGCCAGGTGCTTGCCTTGGGAGTTCCAGTTCCTGCTCTTCACATTTCTCTCGAGCACTGGGTGGACCAGTTAAACTAGTCTTGCCTTTCCTAAGTTGGTTTTTTTTAAATCTGGCAGGCCGCTACTGGAGGCTTTCCAACCCACAGCTCAGGCCAACCCTCATAATAAGAAAAATACTACTTTCTATTTGCCTCATTTAGGAGGTTTCTACTCTTTTTCCTTTGGCGGTTAACTAAATTTCATCTTATATAACCACTGTAAATTTTCTAGAAATTTCCCCAATTAGTGCCAGCAATTACAGAAAATGTGTGTATGTGTGTGTGTAGATGAGAAATCTCCAGGGGAGTGACCATGAGTTCTGGTGAATCTTCATAAGAAAACAGCATTTCGCTCTCTATCCACTAAGACCGACCTATCTTGCCCACTCTCCAGAAGATTCTGGGAGCGCCACACTTTACAGATTCTTTAAGTCTCCTCACATTGCTTTTACACAGAAAAGATAAAGTGAAGGTGGAGAGGATGGGATGATGAGGAATCATGGGTAAAGTATGTTATCGGCAAAACCAAAATAAACACCCAGACATCCTGACTTGGGTGGCCTATGGCCCCTGAAAGCCCTGTCCTTTACGTGAATTACAACAGGCCCTAGACCAGCTCTGGAGACTTCCACTCCACATACACTCCCCAGGTGGCAAACGCCTTCTCTAATCTGGAAGGTTCAGAAGTCTTCAACGAACACAGAGACTGGCTCCCGGGAGCCCAGCCATGAAGGCGTAAGTGTCCAGAGAGAGAGGCCAGCCATCATTTGTGAAGCATCTTCATGGCCTTAAGTCAAATCCCACCAATAGGACCGGATGCAACATGCCTCTCCTTGCCTCTGCCGGGAAGGACTGGCTTTTGCAAAAAAGGACCTTGAGTTTAAAGCCTCTAGTTTACAAACACACAGACACAGACACAGACACACACACACACACACACACCCTGAAGAGGTGGCTTTCAATGAGAGGAATAGGGGAAAATGGGGCCAGAATGGGAAAAGCTGCAGTTCTGTCCCAGACTGGTTGGCCATCTTCCTCTAAGGGGACTCTGAGTTTTGACTTCTGTGGGCGGCCATGCCGGCTCTCCCGTGGAAGTGAAGGGGACAGGCAGAGGAGGCCCTGCCCTGTGGCTGTGGGGACAGAGGAGAGCTCCAAGCAGCACCCGGCACGTGCAAGGCCCTCACCTTCCCTGTTCTATGAATGGGGTGTGCGGGTACCTCTCACTCAGGTGGCCCAAGAGCACTCCGTCCTCCGCAGCTGCCCTTGCAGAGTTCTCCCTGATGACGTCAAGAGCCCACAGTCCTCTCGGGTGGAGCCCACTCTGAGGCTGCTTTGTGTTCTTATGACAGCAAGGCAGTGTCTACACAGAGCTCTCCCCAGCCACCCACAGGACAAAAAGCGGTCTTCATGAGGGCTGTGCACATGTGGAGAATAAGTGAACACAGTTTCTGAGGCCACGGTTGGGGAGGGCTGTGGGCCACGGGAGAAGACTCGTGTCCCTCCATGGTCCCAGGCAGAGACGAGGAGCAGCAAGAACAAAGTGGAGCTAGCGCATCCTTTAAGGAACGTACACTGACGAGTCTGACAGGAAGCCCAGAGCTCACATTATGATGTTTCAGAAAAGCAGCAGCAGCAGCGGTGTCTAGGGACAGGCAGCGGCTGTCCACAGGGTAGAAGAGGGGCTTCCGGGGCACCAGGTGGGAAATAAAGGGGAAGGAACACTAGGGGCGGGGGCGGGGCCACAGCTTGCCCTGTAGCCGGTGCTCCAACCCAAGCAAACAGGACCAGACTGAGTGTAGCCCTGCCCACACGCATGCAGAATCGGCTGAGCAAGTAAGAGATAAGGGAATAGCAGGGTGTGTTTTTAGGAGGAGTAGATCAGATTTGTCAGATGCACTTTACAGGAACAATATGGAATCATCAGGCCTCCCTAGGCTAATGCTATAGGGAGGCAGGAGTGCCTCTGGGTCTGAGGAGGCAGGAGGCCAAGGACAGCTCTGGAAGGAGAGTCAACCCGGGGAAACTTTCGTCAGGATGGGGCTCAAGTGATCCCAGGCTCACCTCCTAGCCAGTCCACAGACTGGGAAACCACAGAATTCGTCCCGAGCACTGCTATGACTTCAACCCCAGAAGGCAGCCTCGTGATGGGGTTGGGACACGCCCCCTCAGACCCAGTGCCTGTTCTTGCAGAAGATGCATTCCTCCAGTGAACATGGTCGGAAGGCCAGATTAAGCACGTTAACAGTGGAAGACCAGAGAGCTGTGAGCAGCCCACAGCGCCCAGCACCGAAGAGAGCTCAGTCCACTCTGGAAAATGACGACAGGAGACCCACGGATGGGCTCACATCTTTGAGGGTGACCGTCTCGATCAACGCCAGCTCTAACTTCCTGGGCACTGACCGCGTGCCAGGCTCTGTACTGAAGGGTTTGAGGTGTAAATGTCTTACATTATTCTGACAGAAATCCTAAGAGCCAGGTTACTGACAGTTCCATTTCACGGACCAGAACACCAAGGCTCTGCTAAGCTGAGCAGCTTGTCTAAGATTGTACGGTTAGTAAGTGATGGAGGCAGACTTTGAATTCAGATCTTTACCCACAGCATACCGGGCAGATGGCGACACTTTCTTCATCCACAGAGGTGCCGTGTTTCATGGGATGGCCTGGCCTGGTAATTCTACCCCTGGTGCACTCCCTGCTCAGCTCTGAGGCAGCCTCCAAGGTAGGAAGCAGTGTGGCCTTGGTGGACTGACTAGGTGGCAGGTCAGCATTTTTAGTCCCTGAAGGGTGTCCACTTACTGAACTTATTCTGCTATGCACACCAGCGGCACAGATGCCCCCTCCCCCGAGGAGGTGGTGTTCCCCCCAGGCCCTCCACTGGCAGGTGTGTAAACGGGCAAAGGCCTAACTGAGCAACCCGAGAAACTGGCCAGTGCCATGGGCCTGACCCCCAGCCGGGCCTTCCTTCCTGTTCTGCTCTGCTTCCTCCCCAGCTGCTGCACCAAGATCCCTGGAACAGTTGATTCCTCGACACTGTGCAGGCATTCCTGCCGGAAAGCGGGGCACCAATGCTGTCCAGAGCCACACGAAGTTGGGAAGACCCTCATTCGGAGGTTCCCCCAGCCAAACCCTTACCGTTGTAGGAGAGGCGAGGTTTGCTCAGACACATTATAAAGTGCATTTCCATCTCATCAGAAGCCACAGACTTGGAACAAATGGGGCACTTGAAACCTGAAAGAGAGGAAAACAGTATGAAATGCTTCTTCCAAACCAAGCACACCCACAACCGACACAGAGGCCCCTAGACTGCTATGGCCATGTGGGGTGAGAGTCAACGTGGAGAATTCCAATCTAGATACACCCTAGCCCTGATCTTTTCTTCATTAATTCTGTTATTTTATCACAGCCTCCCAACTCCCACTGGCCCCTCGGCGAAACTTATCAGAAGGCATGGCAGCTGGTTTGAGTTTTATTTTCCTTTAGACCCTCTCCCAAGGGGGTCGAGTGGGCAGCAGGGATAGGCAGGAATGCAATCAAGGCAAACAAATCGTCAGTCTTTGAGTAACAAAGCATTTAATACTCTTCCTCCTCACGGCCCTCAAAGCACTTGGCTGGGCCACCTGTGGCAGCGAGCCTGACAGCGGTCAGGTCAGCACCTCCATCCCTCCCCCGACCTCCCGGAACCAGGCAGCACCTCCATCCCTCGCCCAAGGCACCTGGGGCCTCCCTGTGGCTCAGGCAGCTGTCCTCTGAGAGTATGGAGCAGCAGGGTGGCCCTCCGGAGCCCTCCCAGATGCCACGCGCGCCTTGGCCGTATGCCACTAAGAGTAACAGCTGTTGCACAACGCCCGGGGGACACAGGGTGGTGTGACCCTGCTGTCCCACTACCAGGGGAGTCTGGACTGCTTGTACATCTGAGCAGTTTCATCAGAACTGTACCCCTATTGGAGATTTCCACTGAGAATCTTCTGAGCTGAACTCCATTAAGCAAACCCAGTCCCTTGACTTATTTATAAACAACTTTTTAAAGATAAATGATTTCCAATTTCCCCCATTTTATTTTTATTGAAATTATTTTCAAATGATCGACTCTGTTCCATTCTACCAAAAGGATCTAATACCACTGGAAGGTTATTACTTATTTGTCCACATCTAATTTCACACGTTGCAGCTTCTCCCTTTTGTGACTGTAATTCTTACCCACCCAGCCTGGATTTCTTAGGTCCAATACAGCACATCTAAATCTTGTTGTGAAAATTTGACTCTCCTGGTAACTTTTCAGTCTAAGTGTTCCATGCACAGTTTCACTGGATGCTGGTAATATCTGTCGGCAACACTTCCTATGACACAGACAAAAGCCGGAGGGCTCGTATTGACTGTTCACTGCTCCCAGACGGAGGAGGAGGTCACACCTTTCTTCCCAGGGCCTTGCTCATTCTGTATGGAAAGCCCTGTACTTTGACAGCTGTGGGTGCAGAGACAGGAAGCAAGCCAGCTCCTGTGTTCCCATGTAGGGCACAAGCACTTTGTTTAAAGTCTTCTCCAAACCCTCCTCTTTTCAGTGACAATGAACTATAGGACCAGAAAGAAAATCCAGGGTCTGGTTAACTGTGGACAAAGTGGAGTTCAGACTCCGTGGCATAGTCACCATTTTCCCGACCCCTCTCCTCAAAAATCGTGAGCATCCTGTGTCTCAGCTAAAAAGTCTTGCGAGTGCTATCAATCCAAAGATTCTGGCCAAGCTTGGAGCAAGGGCTGTACTTTCTGATCTCTGGGTGATTATGAATCCATTAATAACAAAACCAGAAGACAAAAGAAACACGGTAGGGGGAGGGTCCATCGCCAGTTTTCTGGCAAAACCCGATCTCAGATGCGCCAGGCTGATTCTTTTCTAACCCAGTTTAGAAATCTACAGACACAGTGTGACACACGTGGTGGACAGGTGAGTAATGAACTTGAGTCTTGTACAACGAGGCTATCTCCACATCTACCCTAGGTCCCTCCGAAGCCTTGGTTCTGTCCTCATGCCCAGGCCCTGCAAATAAACCAATATTAAGGAATATTTTCTTTAGAGATTCCTTCACCGTTTTTTTCTGACTCAAAAGACCAAGGTTTTATGTTCCCTTAAATGACTACAGGACATTTCTAGTTTAAAAACTTGTTACGTTAGCACCTTGTCTGCAGGCTGAGGGCTCAGAGCTGAGGGCATGCCAGGGTGGACACGCTCTGGACTAGCTCCTCCAACACCGGGCCCCAATACTGTCGCTGGGAGGTGCTAAAGTGAACTGTTACTACTGATAAAAGGCCTTACACTTCACATTACTCACTTTCCTGATAACCTAGAACAGATTCGTGGTTATCACTATAATAGCATCAATCACGCCTGCATCCCAACATGACTTCTTGAATGCAGGACAGGGAGTCAAGTTATAGCTAAGGTACTGGGACGTAGGCCACCCAATGAGAAGGTCTACAAGGAAATGTCACCGGACATTTATGTCCTAGAAAAAACAAACCAAGGTGAGACTCCCAGGTTTAGGCCAGTGCCCTCATTGTAATGAGAAAGAGGCCCTGAAGAAGACTCAGGCTCAAACACTTGTGGGGGTGGGGCTGAAACTGGTCAGATTTCTTAGCTGGCCATCTCAAGTCCTTTCTATCCAGGAAGAAGGAGCCGACTACACTTGTGATGTTGTGATTTACAATAAGAACTATGTATTTGGTCTTCGTCCTGTTCCTGGCACAGAGTTCCTAACACCCTGGGAATTTCCTAACATAATAAGACCAGTAGTATTTGGTCTTTTGTCACTGGCTCCTGAAATAGCTCCAGAGCCATAGGGTGAAAGGAATGTCTTGTTACTCATAACGAGTCCCTTTCAACCACACCAAAATTTATGTTAATGAGGTCACTTTGGGACAGTTCCTTGGTAAACTAAGGATGAGGGCTAGTTGCAAGGCGAACCAACCAGCTGATTAGAGGGTCCTACCCCTCAACTTCTGGGGAGGGGTGGGGGCTAGAGATGGAGTTCAATCACCAATGGCCACTGACTTCATCAGTAATGCCTATGTAATAAAGCCTCCATAAAAACCCCAGAGGATGGGGCTCCGAGAGCTTCCAGGGTGGTGAACACATGAAGATTCAGGGAGGGTGGTGCCCCACAACAGGGCACGGGGGCTCCATGTCCTGTCCCCATACCTTGCCCTCTGCATCTCTTCCATCTGGCTGTTCCTGAGTTATATCCTTATATAATAAATCGGTAATCAAGTAAGTAAAGTGTTTCCGAGTCCTGTGAGGTGCTCTAGCAAATTACACGAACCGAGAAGGGGGTCATGGGAACGTCTGATTAAGAGCCAGTCAGGCAGAAGCAAAGGTGACAACCTGTACTTGTGATTGGGGTCTGAAGTGGGGGGCATTCTTGGGGGATGGAGCCCTTAACCTGTGCGGTCTGGTGCTATCTCCGAGTAGACAGTGTTGAAATTGGGTTAACTGCTTGGTGGTGCTGGGAAAACACTTCAGAACAGGGTTTTAAGAAGAGGTGGGCTGGAAAACATTACACCGGGAGAGGAAGCACCATTGTGGTAGGAAGAGACCTACAGTTTAGCCAAAGCAGCGTTAGTGCCACTTGCATGACCTTCCTCTGGAATGGGGGGCGGGGTTAAGGATCAAAAAATAATTCAGGGTCTATTACGTGAGTGAGAAATGACAAGAGGACCTGGGTTTTCCAGCTTCGAGATGTGGTAAGTAATCTACACTCCCTGGACCTCCGTGTTCTCATTGGAAAAAAAGAAGACTTTGCCTCTCTCTTGCAAGGCTCAGATGAGGTAAGAAAACTGAAAGCGCCCGATGAAGAAGCTAATCAAATGTACCATCAAGCCCGGCAGCCCTGAATGAGGAGGAAGGAAGAAGAGGACTGGGGAAGGATTTGGGGGGCCGGGAGGTGGGGGGTGGTGGAGCAGCAGGGCACAGAGGCCACAGGTAACGCAAAGTGTGCCCGGGCGTAGGGGTGGCCATCTCTGCTTGTCCCATCTGTTTCCTCTGAACTTCTGGAGCGCCGTGCATGGCACTTTCCACACTGCCCGTGTGGAACGAGGCTCCCTGTTCAGCCTCTTGCATGTGATGGCAGACAACAGCTTGCGTGCACTGAGCTGTTACTCTAAGTGAGCAGCCAATGGGCCGTATGTGTCTGCATTTACGAGATTATGGAGTGGGCACTACTGTTACCTGCGTGTGCCCCGCTTGCCGAGCTGGGTGACGGGTGGGCTGGTCTAAGGAGGAGGCGATCTAGGCAAAAGGAACATAAACACTACATAGACGCTGGGTATTAGTAAATAATAACTTCAAATCCTCCACCCTGTCCCAGCAATTTCTTCTGAAGCACTGTGGGCCTGGATAATCTCATAAACGGAAACAATCGAGAATTTTTTTTCTTGTTCCTGGGCACTGTGTTAACATGGAGCTTGGCACGGAGCCTGTAGCACTGGTTGTTAAGGTGCCGAGTTTGCAAATTACCTCTTAAATGGAAAATAAAGGACATGAAGTAAGAGGGCTGGAAAGACAAGGAGAGCTAAGGGGAAAAAACTAATGTCCCCACGTTCTTTCCTGAAAGGGCATCCGACGACCAAGATGGATGCTACCACTCTACTACCCCAATCTTTTCTTGCAAATGTCCAGTCACACGATTCAGCATCAACAGCCCTACAGAATGATAAATACTGTGATCTTCATGAGCTATCCGAAGGTGAAAACAGCTAGGAAATTTTGATACCATTTGGGAAAAAAATTTAGGACAAATTAAAATCAGCCCTGTGGACAAAGACAAAGGTTCACAAAGTCACCATGTGGACGAGACTGAGTCAAATTTCAGAAGAGCCCTTCATCAGCACTCAGGAAGTATGTGCAGGACACGCTTTGTCTTCCTTCACGAGAGCCACAGGCGGAGCCTTTGGGACAGACTCTCCCTGCCTGCACCTGAGACCTGACTGCCCACGGCACCCTGGGAGCTGGGAGGCGGACAGCACGCGCACGCTTTCCCTCTCCCTATCTTATCAGAGGCAGGGCCCTGCACGTGTTGGGGCTTTAATATGGGCCACTGACAGAGTGAAGGGCCGGCTAGCTCCTTATTGCTGGCCAAGTCTGACAGCAGTTCCTCTCCCACTGGGATGTGGCAGAAGCAAGGAAGTTACAGGGTTCCTGGTCCTTCGCTGCCAACCTCTCAAAATGAGGAACGGATGAATGACAGGGCACCAAGGGGAATCTGTCTGTAATGCCCTGATTCTGCCCTGGATGGGCTCTACCAAGCAAACGCTGCTACAGGCTTCCTCTACCCCAATCTAGAGGCGCCCTTCTAATGGGGACCTTACTTCTGCTCTTTCTTGTCATCAAAGCAGCTCAAAATTATACAGCCAGAACAGCCCACGGGAGTGTGATCAGCCAGAGCCCAGCTGCTTCCTGTCTTTCAACAGCAGATTGCATAAATGGGGGAATCCTCAGCTGGGCTACAAAGCAGAGCTCCTGGGAGAAGACAAACCCGCACTCGCCACCCAGTGCGGGGCCTTGACCCCTGTAACTGCAAGGTCAGGGTAAGCCCACCAGTAGGTGAACCAACAGAGACCCAGGGGAATGCACACACAGTCATGTATGGTAAGCATCTTCCTGCACCCGGGTCCTTCCAGGACAGGGCAACTGGCTCAAGTAACTATCCTCCCAGGCATCCACAACATTTATCTTGTGATGTAAATCAGTTTTTCTCATTTGCCAAAACTGCAACCTTCTCCTTTAAGACCTGATTTCTCGGGGCGGGACGTGTGCTCCGCATGTTGCCCCAGTTCCCTCCCTGACCCTCCCTCCTATGCTGATGCGCTATTTTAACGCTGCCCCAGTTCTGCCTGTCTCTGGGATCACCTAAAGGGAGAAGAATCTAAAGAAGCAACCAAGGAAAAGGAAGCCAGGCCATCCAGGCAGGACCTCCTGTCCCAGGGAAGAGGGGCTGATGTAGATTCCCCTCACCCAGGGGGGCTCAGAGAGCACCACCCTCAACACCATGTCCCTACTGTTCAGTTCCTAGTTTCCAGCCTGGATCCTTCCCTCTCACATCCTGTGGTGCGTGTCTGTGAAATGAGATTTGACTAAACGAATTTGGTAAAATGGGATTTTTTATAAAGATTGTATTTATTTGAGAAAGAGAGAGAACAGCACGCATAAGTAAGGGGAGCAGCAGAAGGTGAGGGAGAAGCAGACTTGATAATGCAGGGCTCCATCCCAGGACCCTGGGAGCATGACCTGAGCCGAAGACAGAGGCTTAACCAACTGAGCCACCCGAGCACCCCTGTAAAATGGGATTTATTACAAAAGAAAGACCAAGGGGTAGCAAGGGATGACTTTCGTTGACATTTTTATACCACCAGAGAGGGGTCCCAAGAGCAGAGGCTGTGGGTACCCCATTCTTCACACCTACTTTCCCGCCCAACCCCTGAGAAGTAACTGGAAACCGATGCACAATTTATGAGTTGGTAAGGCACTCTTGCCTGGAGAACATTCTGGACTAGGAAAAGGCCCAGCAGTTCTGACTTGCTTCTTTCAACACCTCTCTTCTGGACTCAGTCTCTGCAGTTCCATTCCAGGGACTGAGGCTCACCTGTTGCCTCAGGAGCCAAGAAAATTCTCATAAGTGGATATTAGGAGACAGCCACACCGACACCTAAAATCAGTTTAACGTGTGTGTGTGTTTATTTTAACATGTCTGTTGTGATGGTTAACTCTATGTGTCAACTTGGCTGGGTCATGGGGTACCCAAATATTTCGTTAAACATTATTTCTAGGTGTGTTTGTGAGGGTGTTCCTGGATGAAATTTAACATTTGAACTGGTAGACTAAATAAAGCAGATTGCCTTCCCCAACGTTGGTGGGCAGTGTCCAATCCATTGGAAATGCCGAACAGAATAAAAGATGGAGAAAAAGAGGTTTTGAGCTGTCTGCCGCACTGATCTGGGGCACTGGTCTTCTGTCGTCAGACTGGGACGTACAGTATTCGTTCTCCTGGTTCTCAGGCCTTCACACTCAAACTGGAACTAACTCCAGAAGGTGTTCCTGGATCTTGAGCTTGCAGATGACAGATCATGGAATTTCTTAGTTTCCATAACTGCATGAGCCAATTCCTTACAATAAATCACTTTCTCTTTCCCTCTCTCCTTCCCCCCGCAACTGGCTCTGTTTCTCTGGAGAACCCCAATACATCTATTTATTAAATTGCCAAACAATAAAGTTTAAAAGACTGGCAACATCAAATGTTGGCGAGGATGTAGAGCAACTGGAACTCTCAGGCATTGTTGGCAGGAGCCATTTTGGGAAATGGTCTGGTAGTTCTTTATAAAACAAAACATACCTGGCCTGACCTAAGCAACTCCTCATTTACATAATTACCCAAAAGAAATGAAGACCTATGTCTACAAATAGATGTTTGTAAGAATTTTCATCACAGCTTTAGTCATAACAAGCAAAAACTGGAAATAACTCAATTGTCCATCAAAGGAATGGGTACACTAACTGTGGCATGATGGAATACAATGGAACCCTACTCAGCAATGAAAAGCAATGACTACTGATACATGCAACCACATGGATGGATATTAAAAACATGCTGAGGAAGGACAGAAAAGAGCACACATTATGATTCCAAATGTATGAAGCTTTACAACAGGGAAAACTCTGTAGTGAAAAAAATCAGAACAGTGCCCGTCTCTAGGAGTTAAGAATTGGGGCAGAAATGAACTGAAAAGGGGATGCGAGACCTTTTGGGTGTGATGAAATGTTCTATATCATGAAGACGGTCTGGGTTACACATATGCATGTACATGTCAAAATTCAGTGAATGTACACTTAAGATTTGAGATTTCATTGTTTGTAAATTTTATCTTAACCAGAAAAAAAAAACTAAGCAAATATTGAACTATAGTTAATGATATACATGCTGAAGCATTTGGAGCAACGTGTACTGATGTGTGCATTGAAATGAGATGCATCAAAAAATGATGCATAAGTCAAATTTCTTTCCACTTTCCTGTACGTTTGAAATTTTCATCATAAATCACCAATAAAAGTATCAAGTAGTGAGGGGGGTGTGTGTGTGTGTGTGTGTGTGTGTGTGTGTGTGTGTGTGTGTGCGTGCATACACTAATTTAGCTACAGTGGTCAGGGAAGGCCCCTCTGATGGGGATACAGGTGCCAGAGAACTTGGTGTGTTAGGGACAGTGAAGGTCAAGGTCACAAGCACAGTAAGTACCAGGGGTGGCAGGTGACAGTGGGGACATGCTCTCTTACAAATTTCAATTATAAATTGCAGGATTTAACAGTTTCAGGTCTTGTACTAAAGTCTTTAATCCACTTTGAGTTGATTTTTGTGTATGGTGTAAGATAGGGACCCAGTTTCATTCTTTTGCATGTGGATAACCAATTTTCCTAACACTACTGAACAGACTATCCTTTCCCCATTGTGTAGTCTCAGTGCCTTTGTAAAAAATTAATTGACCGTATATGCATGGCTTTATTTTTGGCCTCTATTCTGTTCCATTGGTCTATGCATCTGTTTTTATGCCAATACCATACCGTTTTGATTACAATAGCTTACTAACATAGCTTGAAATCAGGAAGTGTGATACCTCCAGCTTTATCCTTCTTTCTCAAGATTACTTTGGCTATTCAGAATCTTTTGTGGTTCCATACACATTTTAGGACTGTTTTTCCTATTTTTGTGAAAAATTCTACTAGAATTTTGATATGGATTGCACTGAATGTGTAGATCACATTTTAACAATATGAATTCTTCCAATCCATGAACGTGGAATGTCTTTTTATTTATTTGTGTCTTCTTCAATTTCTTTCATCAATGTCTTATAGCTTTCAGCGTACAAATCTTTCACCTCCTTGGTTAAATTTATTCCTAAGTATTTGTTTTTGTTGCTACTGTAAATAGTTTCCTTTTTTCTTTTTTTTTAAAGAGTTTATTTATTTATTTGACAGAAGGAGAGAGACAGCAAGAGAGGGAACACAAGCAGGGGGAGTGTGAAAGGGAGAAGCAGGCTTCCCACTGAGCAGGGAGCCCGATTTGTGGCTCGATCCCAGGACCCTGGGATCACGACCTGAGCTGAAGGCAGACGCTTAACGACTGAGCCACCCAGGCGCCCCTGGAATAGTTTTCTTAATTTCTTTTTCAGATACGTCATTGACTACTGAATTTATTTATTAGATAAAACATTTTTTTGGTGGAGGCTTTAGGGTTTTCTATACAATATTATGTCATGTGATACTTTGCTTTTTCATTCCCAATTTGGATGACTTTTATTTCTTTTTCTTGCCTAATTGCTCTGGCTAAGACTTCTAATACCATGTTGAATAAAGGTCTGAGTATAGGATTGTTGTTTTCCTTTTCTCCCTCAAAGGTCTACAGATAAAATTCTACCATATTCTAGTTTTTTGGTGTTGCAAATGGAAAATTTGATTCTAGTGTGATTCTTTTTCCTTTTGTAAATAATATATTCCTTCAGGCTGAAAACTTGAAAGAGTTTTCCTTTCATCCTTAGAGTTCAGATATTTTACAAGGATATGCTTAGATGTTTCTTAGTTACCTAGTGGTAAGTCATGAGTGCCCTTCACCATTTCTAGTGTCCCTCCTTCTAGCTATACATTATAGTAGGATTGCACTTGCTTACTCCCTTTGAAGTTAAAGGTGAGGTTGTGATTTGCTATGGTTAGTGAAATGTGAGTAGAAGTAATGTATACACTGCCAAGCAGACTTGAAGCATTAGCTCATGATTCACCAGAGACC